GCTTTAAAAATCATATCACTCTAGGATTAGGGAAACTTTTGTTATCATGAGCAAAAAGATTATTGACTTTATAATGGAGAAACCAAAGAAAGTATGTGCACTTTTTCTAGACTCTGCCTTCTCTCCCTCCAAAAGGTACTGTTTTCCAGACTCAGTTTATAAAGAAATCTAGGAGAGAGAGTATACAGTGGCATCTCCAAAACTGTAGGTAATACAAAGTTGTTCCTGGAAGAGGAACACCAAGCCAATAAGGACAAAATATCTAAATGGTAGTGGCAGACAGGCCTCACTAAGGGGCAAAAAAAACAGCCTATTCTGCTATAACATAGTTGTTGAATTCCTGAGGAACCTTTGCTCTACATTATCAAAAAGGATGTTAGAGACAAGTGTTTCAATTGAAAAATGGACTTAAGGTTAAAGGTTTCGGCTTGCAATAACAAGGTTATTTTCCTGCAGGAATTTCAGTTTTAAAAAAATACAGTGGTATTAATAGTCATCAGTGCATTTCGTTATTGCGAACTAAAATAACAAAATAGGTAACAGACGCAAACATAAACTGCTCCTTGATTATTCTTTAATCCATGTACTCAAAGCTTTGGTCTCCTCCATCACCTTGGGCTTTAACCTTGCATTTTTGCTACTAGCATAGTTCACAATTACCAGTGGTGACGAAAGAATGTGGCATTACACAGCAACTGTATCTACCTCTAAATACAAAGCCTAATTGCTGATTATGTTATAACTGACAGTAGTCAGGACAGCACAAATTAATTACATTACATTTGTAACATGAAAACTCAGATGTAGGCGAAATGCCTAAGTAAGCTACAATATTAAAGGAAAATAATATTTACTACCCACAAAGATAAAGGGGCTTCTTTATTCAGAAAAGAAAGGCTAAAATCCAGAAAAGGACTCTAAAGCTCACTGCAGATAACTCAAAAAATGTCAGCTCCACATACTCTTGCAACCAGAGGACAAGAGAGTGGAGGGCATCATCCAAATTAAAAGGGACAATATCAGACTCCAGAAAGAAAAATGACTCAACTCAAAGTTTTCCCAAGTAAAACAGGGGTGTTGGTCTCTCCAAGGCTTTCACCATTTGACCTAATGGAGAAATTAGGTGGGAAAAAAATTTACTTACAGGATCCAAACCTTCTTTCTCTAGTTTGGCTTTCTCCAAGTAGTAACTCCTTTCAGCCACACTGAGAAGCCTCCAACTCTCGCTAATCTTCTTATTGATCTCAGACTGAGGGAGATGCGGGAGCTCCTGCTGCACTTTCAGGTAGATGTCATAATAGTATAGAAGGTACGCTGACCTGAAGAAGCAATGACTTAAGGTTTTCCCTCATTCAACCAGTAAATGTTACAATGATACAGTTTGGGTAGTGAAGAGGTAGAGATGAAACTCAACTTTTCATTTCAAAGCATTTAACTAAATAGAAAGTAGAACAAAGAAACCTTTAAATAATTCTCTCAGATGGCATATAGGAGGTTTCTCCTTTCAGAAGCCTGGAGGCAAAGGCTTACTTTTGGTAAGTCTGGTTTATTTTCCAGTTTTTGACTTTTTCTGAAGAGAAGATTGGCTTTAAAACTCAATATGGACAAAGTCAGATACGGGTGCCCTGTCATTCCACTCTCAGAAAGGTTACTTTGGAGACCGATTACATAGTCTGTTGTCACTCATACTCTTTACTCCTCCACACAGACCTTGGTCATCTCACTGGCCAACAGCACCTCCCAAGGGCTGAGAGAGGGAAGCAAGCAGAACTATCAAAGTGACCTACACCTGGGAGCCAGAGCGAGAAGTTTGGAGCATTCACGGTTAAGCCAGAGAACAGAGCTACAATTTGGATATTCTTTACAGATATCATTGGTACTATTTATAATCTTATTGTTATTAATGCACTATTTTAAATATGTAAATAACAACAATGGTAATAATATAGTTCTTCTGTAGAGTAACTCTTCACTCAATATCATCGATAGGTTCTTGGAATTGTGGCACGACAATGTATAATTAAACCAATTTTACCATAGGCTAATTGATATAAACAAGAGTTAAGTTCCTACAACATTGCAACAACGTTTTAACGAAATGATATTGAAAAAAAACGATCTCATTCGAGGACCTACTGAACACAGCTTCGACCATTTGTATGGTACAATTTCCACTGACAACCTGGAAACATGACCACAATCTGGCCAGCAATGGCAAATGCTGGCACCAATCTGTCACATCCCACACCCCCATCTCCTTCTCTCTCCAATCTCAATGCCCTGAGACTTCAACAATTGACATGGCACTCTCAGTGAATCTGGACCCAGTCTTCCTCAATACAGCTCTCCAAGCAGCTACTGTTTATAATCGCCAGCTACTAAAACATGTTGGCTAACCTGGGTTTCTTGGCCTTTTCTCCATGTATTTTATACTTTTTCTTCTTCTTGGGTGGCCCAGGGGAGGTATAGCAGTAGGATTCCTCAATTTCCTCCATCACAACAGTTACCTCAGTACCATCATATGATGCATCCATGGCTAGAAGAAAGTCAAACACAAACATGTTTCAAGAATCTACCCTAAAGGAAACAGCAGATGATCCCTTATCTCTGCCAGGGCCTTAAGACTGAGTCATTTCCCAAACTCAGCAGGTCCTAAGAAGCACCTGGGAAGTACTTATTAGACATAGACTCCAAGGTGCCCCCTCAGCCCTTCTATATTAGAATCTCTAGAAGGTATGGAAATTTGCATGCTTAACAAGTGCCCCAGGTGATTCTTTTGACCATACAAGTGTAGCAACACCAGCATAGACAGACATTTCACTTATATTCGCTCATAAAATACAATAATCCTTCAACTTGAAGATGTATTAGACCTACATTACAAGAATTCCATATGGTAACAGGTAAAAAGAATATTTGGCCAGGAGTTAGAAGTTCTGGCCCCTCCCTCATGTTTTATCACCTGAAGCAAACTACTTCATTGATTCGTTCAGTCATTCATTCAAACATAAAGTGCCTATACAGAAGAGATTTCTTTACATTCTGTGGCTTGTGTCACTTTGGGCAGGTCCTTTAGCTGCTTTAGATTCAATTTTATCATGTATAAAAAAGGAGATGTCTCATCCACCTCATCACAGATTTATAGTGCAAGGCTCAAGAAAATCACAGATATAACTATCAGAGTCAAGTGCTATATAAAAGAAAGGGTTCGTTGTGAAAGATGAATAATCTGTAGCTGAGATGCTTACCAACCTGCCCAAAACCACCACACCAAATAGGGACTTGAATGACAAATTTTTTAAATTCGAAATCCAACTCTCTGAGCCTTCATTCATTATACTACACTGCTCCTCCATCTCTACTGGCAACCCTCTAAACCAGCACTGTTCAATAAACTTCCTGCAATGATGAAAATGTTCTATTATCTGTGACCTCTACTATGGTAGCCATTCATGGCCACTGACCATCTGAAATATGGCTAGTGTGACTTAAAAAGTGTATTAATTTTAATTGTAATTAAGCAACCACATATAGTGGCTACATATTGGACAGCACAGGTGTGAACAGTAATCTGACAGACCAACAGTAGCTCTCTGCCACTAGCCTGAGAAACAGAAAATTACTAATAGCTTTTCCTAGAAAAAGGAAGGGCATACAACAACTGAATGACTAGTTCAAGAAGAGTTAGTTGATTCGTGACCACATTCTCAGTTACAGTTTTACCCATGAGACAAAATCCTTAGAGGCAGAAAGCTTCCCAGAAACCACCTGAATTTTAGGACAGGGAATTAATATGCTTGCTCTTAAAAATCTGTCAAGTTTTTGATAGAATCAAAGATTCTTGGAAAAGGGAGTTGTGGTAGTAAAGGCAGGACTGATCTGTATATTACAAAGCCCATTTGGATCTCATTTAGACCTCTCTACACAAATGATAAGGTATGAGAGGGTACAATGACAGAAGGAGTACTGCATACTGAGTCTGGAGACCTGGATCCAAGTCTGAACATGAACCATGTGACCTCTGACAAGTATATTCCCCACCCTAAATTTCAAGTGATACAGAGCCTGAAATCAGTGGCTCCTGATTTTAGGGAGGCAAGAATTTTAGGGAGGCAAGAATCCTTTTGAGAATGTTGTGAAAGCTAAAAATCTTCCTCTAGAAAATGCAGACCAAAAAAATGTTTCACCTATAATTTCAAAAGATGTATCCCGGGATAAGAACACATTATTCCCAAGATTATTTCTGTCATTTCTAAATGATTTCCCTTCCCATTATAAACACACACACACCCTCCATTGTCATAGTGCAACCCTGGAAGAAGAGATAACCCACAACTTGGCTGGATAAGAGACCAGTGTCTTCATTGGGTAAGGGAAGCTAGAGTTCAAATCAAGGATATGTGGGGACTGTGCTTTTTTGCCCCTAACAATTGATTTCTCAGCTCTTCAGAGTCTTGTGGAGAAAAGCAGTAACTACAAGAGGACACCTGTAAAGAATGGCATACAGGGTTTTAGAACCGAGAGCAATGCAAAAAAAAAAAAAAAAGACAGGACAATATAAATGTTAAAACTAAGGGCTCTGGAGAGCAGAAGGTCTGGGTTCTAATTTGCTCATTTTAACAGCACCCGCAGAACTCTATGACCTTGAGCAATCTACTTACTCTTAAGTCTCAGTTTTCTCACCCGTAAAGGAGTGTCAAGGACAGTATTTGAAATTTGTGAGACACTTTCACTGTTCCATCAGATTCTCATCCTGACCTCATGAGATTGCCTTTGACGGCTCAGTTATGGGTCACGGTTTGACTCTGGGCTAGTTCCTTCCTCTCTCTGGGTCTCAAATGTCCCGAAAGTAACGAATGCGGGAGGAAACTAACGCTCACAGCTCCTACTTTGTAATAGGGCTCAGAGAGCCGCAGCACCCAGTTCGAGGTCGCCCAGCTGGCCGTGACGCGGTGCAGCGCGGAGCTCGAGGACGAGACTTACCCCGAGGAGCGAGCAAGCTGCGCGGCTCACATTCCCGGAGGCGCCCCGCCTGGAGGCTCGACGAGGGGGCTGGCCGGCGCACTTGCGCTCCCCGCTGTCGGCGAGAGGCGGCTCCAGTCGTGACAGTGGCAACAAGGAAGTGGAGGCGAGAGCTCGCGCGCGCATCCCGGGGGCTGGAGGAGCCCCGGCCCCGCGGCCCCGCCCAGCGACACACGGTGCGGAGTCGCGACAGCCCCTTTCGCTCCCGCACCTTGGAGTCGCGATATGGGGTCTTGGAGGGAGGGTGTGGGAGGACAGGTTCGCTCCGCAGGCTCTTCACCGACGCCTGCCGAGGGCCCCGGGGGGGTCAAGCCCCGGGGAGCCCGAGGAAGACTGCAGATACACGGGCGTCGCCGCGGCACCGGTTCGGCGGTGGCAGCAGCAGCGGTACCAGCACACACCTAGGATCGCCTGGGAGACCCGTCCCGGCGGCCCTCGCGGCGCACCGGAAGCGGCCCGTCGCGCGTGACTGCGTGAAACCCTTTGCGCAAGCGCAGCAGTCCAGCCCTAGCTGAGGGGCGGGCCCATAGGTACTGCTTAGAGGCTTAGATGGGGGCTGCTAAGGCGGACGGACTGCTTCCGGCCAGAGGTTTCGGGAGGAGGAGAAAGCTGCGGCTACCCGCGGTGGGACGCCCGGGCTGCTTTGCCCCCATTGACGTAGGGCGTTCAGGTAACTTGGGCGGGGCTGTGCCGAGCGTGATGAATCGAGGCCACGCCTCACCTTTCAGAGCCACGTCCGGCCTTGGGGAGCCCCAGAACTACTACTCTCTAAGAACGGCGTTCAAGGCCTGATCCCATCCTTCCTCGGTCTGTCCTCGCTTGTTCAGGATAGGGTTCTTCTCAGTACCACATCAAGCCGTCCGCCTCACCCCAGTGATCTGCCCTCAGCCCGTCCCTCCCACCGTCCCAAACACAGTAATCGTAGTGAGTTCCTGAAGTGATTCAAACCGAGCTGAATGACCATCTGGAGAGGCTCCAGAATCAAATAAGGATTGTGTTGTCCTTTCCTGCCTATGTCACAGGTTGTCCTACATTTGTACAAGTCGCTGCACGATCTTCACTATCTTGCAAATATATTTATAATCTACCTACTTTTTTTCTATCTACCACCGTCGCCAATATTCTAGTCACCAACATACCCTGTCTGGACTGATGCAGTTTCTTCCCACCTCCACTTTTGTCCCTCTACAATCTTCACACAACAACCAGATTGATCTTTTTGCACTGAAAATCAGATTAGGTCACTCCTTATTTAAAACCCTCCAGTGTCTTCTCGTTCAAAAGAATAAAATTCAAACTTCTTAGCTTGACCTATAAGCCTGGTTTGACTCTTGCTTCATTCTCTTCCCATGTCTATTCTCAATACTGATAGTTCCCGGAACAAGCTATATAGCACTCTATAGTGTCAAGAACACTGGCTTTATGGTGAGCCTACCTGGGTTTGAATTACAGTCCTGCCACATGTAAGCTGTATTAAGCACGTAGAGTAACAAATTATGTTTAAGAAATAGATCCTCAATAATTGGTTCTCATCTCAGTAAATGGCTCCACCATCCACTGGATTGTTCAGTGCTCAAGCCAGAAATCTGGGAGTTAACCTCGATTCTTCTTACACCTCACATCCAGCCCATCAGCAAGATATGCAAAAACGGCCCCAAACTGACTCCTCATTACTATCTCCATTATTACTCTAATCCCAGCCACCATTATCCCCCATCTGGACTCTTGCAACAGCCTCCTAACTAGTCTCCCCGTTTTTCCCTTAACACCTTCGATTCCATTCTTTGCACATTTCTTTTTGCTTAAAATCTTTCAGTAGCTTCCTACCAACTCAATGTATCCAAATTGTATATGGCCTACTAGACTAACCTGCTTTTATCTTTAGATTTAGGGCCACCTCTTAGGAAACCCATTAGGTTCTCCACTTCGCAATCAAAGGACTCTTTCTAAAGCACAAATCTAAGCATATTATTCAAAGAAAAACAAAAATAAAGTCAACTTCTAAAGGCCTCTTATTGTCCCAAGATCAAGCTAAAATCCTGACTAGGTCTTTCTGTGATTTGGCCCTTGTTTTCTTCTCCGAAGACTTATATTTTTCCTCACCATGCAATTAATTTTCTGTAGTACTTTGTTGCTCTTACATATATTTCTTTCCATCACTGAATTCCTCTTTGTTTGTACTTTGAGGCCCAACATTAATATATTGTTTCCTCTTTGGAGTGCACTTTCCATCCATGCCCCACCCAGTTGATCATCCCTACTTCTATGTTCTAGTTCATAGTACTTTGTAATCTCACATATAATATTCCATACACTCTAGTGTTTGTCTTCCCTTCTTCTCTGGTAATCTCTTCAGTGGTGGTCACCATGCCCCATTCATCTCTGTGTGATTGGCATTGAGCACAGTGCTTAGCACAAAGGGAAAGCCTTGAATAGTTAGATGTGTGGAAGTGGTGGTAGAAGTCAGTCTTCTGGAAGAGGCAGTCACAGCATAAGGTCATAGCTTCTCTTGTCCTTTGAGGATTCTCATGATATAAGGTTTAAGCAAGCAATTGCCAAACTGCTACTGCTGGATTGTTTATTTTAATCGTAGTACATATCATACTCTAATTTATCTGTTCACATATTGTTTATCTCTCCCCACTTCATTATATATTTCATAGGGGCAAGACCCTGACTATGTTGTTCATCACTGTATCCTTACCACGTTGGCTCCTGTAAATATTCATTTAATGAATGTATGGCTACCAGTAACATATTCCCGCAATGAACATCCTTCCCAGCCAAATGGTGATAAAGCTTAGAAGATCTCATTTTGGTGGAATTTCAAGCAGGATGATGGAGTGGCAGGAATAGCACTAATCTGAGTCAAGAAATCTGAACTGTATGAATCTGGGTATGCCCCTTTCCTGAGCCTCAGTTTCTATATCTATAATATGAGTCAGATAATAATCCCTTGAATTTATACAGTGCATTGCTATTTGCAAAACTCTTTTACCATCTATTATTTAATATATTCTCATAGTAGGCAGAGCAGACATTATTATTTTTACAGAGGCTCAAAAAGTATAAGTAAACTAGATTATTTGCAAGATCTACTTCAAACATTCTATGAGTCTGAGTAATCTCTACAAAAAGTCAGTAGCATGAATCCTATCTTCTCTTGACTTTGGCCTTATCATTTCCTAATAGGATTTTAAAAAATATGAACCCTTCTTTTAGGGGAAATTCATTATCTTTGGTTCCTGATAGGTACTCCGTTTTGTCTTCTCAGTTTTCCACACTTGTGGCAAAACAAAGCACGTGAAGGAGTGGACACAGCCCTGGTAGTTGTGGCCCAGCCCTCATTCTGCAGATATGGCAAACAAGGGGAACAAGAAACGTCGGCAGTTCTCCCTGGAGGAGAAAATGAAAGTTGTAGAAGCTGTAGACTCAGGTAAGAGGAAAGGTGATGTGGCAAAAGAATTTGGTATCACCCCTTCTACTTTGTCTACATTCTTAAAGGATCGTGCCAAATTTGAAGAAAAGGTGCGGGAGGCATCTGTGGGACCACAGCGGAAAAGGATGAGGAATGCTCTCTATGACGACATTGATAAGGCTGTTTTTGCTTGGTTTCAAGAAATTCATGCCAAAAACATTCTCGTGACTGGTTCTGTCATTCGGAAAAAAGCACTAAATTTGGCCAACATGCTTGGCTATGACAATTTTCAAGCAAGTGTGGGCTGGCTGAACAGATTTAGGGATCGACACGGAATTGCGTTGAAAGCAGTCTGTAGAGAGGATAGTGACAGATTAATGAATGGTCTAGGAATAGATAAGGTTAACGAATGGCATGCAGGGGAAATTATAAAACTGATTGCTGACTACAGCCCAGATGATATCTTTAATGCTGACGAGACAGGAGTGTTTTTCCAGTTGCTTCCCCAGCACACGCTGGCTGCTAAAGGGGACCATTGTAGAGGGGGCAAGAAAGCAAAGCAGCGATTGACAGCACTCTTTTGTTGCAATGCTTCAGGGACTGAAAAAATGAGACCATTGATTGTTGGTAGGTCAGCCAACCCACAGTGCCTCAAGAACGTCCATTCCCTCCCTTGTGACTATCGAGCCAACCAGTGGGCATGGATGACACAGGATCTGTTTAATGAGTGGCTGATGCAAGTGGATGCCAGGATGAAGCAGGCAGAGCGCCGGATCCTCCTGCTGATCGACAACTGCTCTGCTCACAATATGCTTCCACGCTTGGAAAGGATTCAGGTGGGTTATTTGCCCTCAAACTGTACTGCCGTCCTGCAGCCACTGAATCTTGGCATAATTCACACCATGAAAAGGCTGTACAGGAGCCGCCTTCTAAAACAAATCCTCCTCAAGCTCAGCAGCAGTGAGGACCAAAGAAAAGTGAACATCAAGCAGGCCATTGACATGATTGCTGCAGCATGGTGGTCAGTCAAGCAGTCCACAGTGGTGAGATGCTGGCAGAAGGCAGGCATCGTCCCTATGGAATTGACAGATTCTGACAAAGAAACAGCAGCCAGTGAACCAGATACTGCTATTGAAAAATTGTGGCACTCAGTGGCTATTGCCTCCTGTGTCCCAAATGAAGTGAATTTCCAGGACTTTGTCACTGCAGATGATGACCTCACCATCTCTCAGGAGCTGATAGACACAGAGGTCATTCAGAACACGGTGGCTGGTGAAAATACTGATGAAGCCGGAAGTGAAGATGAAGGGGAGGTGTCTTTACCACAGCAGCCAAAAATCACCATCACAGAGGCCATCTCAAGTGTACAGAAACTTAGATGGTTCCTTTCCACTTGTGTAGATGTTCCTGATGCCATTTTTGGACAGCTTAATGGCATAGATGAATATTTAATGAGAAGAGTGACACAAACTCTTGTCGATTCTAAAATTACAGATTTTCTCCAAACAAAATAATGTAGGCATTATTTTGCCTCTTACTTTGGAAGATGTAGTTTACAAGAATCTTTAAATCTTTTAGACTTCTTTAGATAGGATATGGAACTTAAATTTTAAACATTACATGACAACATTATAGTCCTCTGAAATAATCAGGAAATTTTCTTGAATGGAAGTTGGAAATGAAATTTGACTAATATGTTCTCTTTTGATTAATCCAATGGTTCCCAAACGTGTCTGCACCTTAGGATCACTTGAGGATCTTTAAAAAATGTCCAGAGCCCAGATCATATCCCAGACCAATTAAATCATAATCTCTGGTGATGGATCACAGGCATTAATAGATTTTGAAGCTTCCCAAGTGATTTCAATATGTACAGAAAAGTCTGGGAACTATTGGATTAACCACAAGAAGATGAAACACACTGTGGGCCTGGAACCAACTTTTTCCCAATAAGTCTAGCTCATTGGTTTCCAAATTTTAGCTCACTTCACTTCAAAGTCATTTGGAAGCCTTGCTAAAACCCAAATTGCTGGGCTCTAACTTCAGAGTTTCTGATTCAATGAGTCTTAGGTGGGGCCCAAGAATTTGCAGTTCTAATAAGTTCCCAGGTGATGCTGATGTGGTTCGGGGTCCATACTTTGAGAACCACTGTCTAGCAGGAATCTAGCACGTCTGTCTTCAGCTGGCTACCTGTATACTCCCCATCACTGTCAAAAAAAAAAAAATTATCTGTTCTGACTACAGAGATGTTAACTCTTTTCTGCTAATTTGGTGATTTTAGAATCTTCTTAGCTATTCTCTTGACTGCCCCGCCAGTTAGCCAAGTATTCAGTAGAGGTACATTCATCTGTGCCCAAAGAATTAACAGGAGCCATCTAGCCTATTAAAACTTATTGTAGTGCTTCAGGCTTATTATTAGTAAGGAGTTGGGGTACAGCAAAATAAGGTGCATTAAAGAGGAGACGTGATATGCTCTGGGAGGCGGGGTATAATATCAGAGAATCCTATTAGGATCATGGGAGAGAACATATAACCCAGTGCATCTCTTTCCAGATAACGTAAGAGGAAAGTTTGGCGAGAGATGGCTGAGTGAGAGTGTTTGGATCATCCCCTGTTTGGATTATTCACAGTTTTCCTCTCCACACATGTAATCCAGCCTAGACCATGTAATTAGGATGGGGCACTCAACATTTGCTTTCACTAAAAGTACTTCATAAATAAGCTTTATTCCTTTGTGTTTGTTCTTTGGGGAAGTCTGCTAGAGCAGAGTTGATTTTAAATTATTTAAAACTCTAAGTTTATAATCAAATTTATATTAAAGTTTGTTTCCTATAGAGAAGACATTCTTAATATCTTTCATAACTCTCATATCTATTCCTAATAAGTCAGATAAATGCCAGTTTCATTTTTAGAAGGTACTCACAATACATGTTAGTGTTGTAGTGTAGTTTTTTTCCCCCCTTCAGGTTAATTTTGCGGCTATTTCAGAAACACAGCAATTCAGTTATTTTTCTTTCTGTAGTTACTTAAACAGTTGTATAAAGCAGATTAGTCGTAGAAAGTTCTGCTTCCACATTGAATTAGTCGTAGAAGGTTCTTCCACGTTGAACAAAACAACAATAATCACACACACACAAAAAACCAGCAGATGTTTAAATGGATGTTTTTGAAAGCTTATTTGGATATTTTTCCTTTTAAAATAGTATAATTTGAATTAAAAGTACTACACATATTTAAAATTTTTAACACTTAGGAGAGGAAAACAATGCCTTCTGGATAAGTTCTGTGGTTCTTCTATCTCATTGGCAGCACCTTAATTGCTTTCATCTGTGTCAGGACTACTGCCCTCCCCCCCCAATTTCCTCACCTTTCTCCTTATGTCTGTTTTCTGATGTCCATTTTGTACTTAATGTTAATCTATTTATCTGTTGGGATCACACCGTTTCCCCTGCCTGTCTGTGGTGGTTCTCAAATGCCTAAAAAATCAGACTAGATTTTTTCAGCTGAGTTTTAGCACCTTTCGAGTTGACTACAACCTGCATTTCCAACTTGGTTGCTCAGTACAATCCAGTGTCTGTGCTGCCCCAGAATAGGCCATTGTCTTCCTTCACTCCATACCCATGTCTGCTAGTGTGCCTTTGCCTGAATGCCTCGTCCTGCTCTCTACCAAGCTAGGCCCTACACATTCTTCAAGAACTAACTGGAGTCTTCTTTCTTCCACCCTTTCTTGAAGACTCACCACACTTCTTTCCTCAATTCCTCAGTACTTCTTGTTTCTATCACTGAGTTAAGCACTTGAATGTTTTATAAGTTCTGTGGCTCTTTAACTAGACTGTAAGCTCCATGAGAGCAGGGACCAGTCAGCCTTTTGTTACCTTAATGGTGTGTAGCACTGTGCTGGGCACATCATATGCACTTCAATAAACATTTGTGTATAAATTGATAGACACGTAATGTGTCATAGCCACCTTTTAAAGCTGTATGAAGCATCGATTGTACTAGAAAATGAATTGGAGGTAAGGTAAAGTTGTCTTCTATTTAAAAGGATTTGCAAAAATTTTCCATGAATATCATTGCTTCAAATGTTATTCCAGTCCAGGATAACCTGTCCTTTGATAATGAATTCTAGTATGTAAACTTGTTCCCTTCCATTGAATGTCATTGTGAGATTCTCCGTTTACACACATAAGACTTTAGCATGAAAAGCTTTTTCTAAGTGCCTTGCATATAGTAGTATTCAGTAAATATGTGCTTAAAACATTTTTTTTAAATCTCACATTCTTGGCTCATTGAACATATTAATTAGATCCCAGTAGATGGCAATAATATCCAAAAGAAAGAGCTTCTGTAGTCTGGTTTAAATTGGCTAACCCTTTGATTCTATTGGACATTAGGATTTTTTGTTGTTGTTGTTCGATGCTTTGTTTTTTAAACTAAAAGAGATTGATATTATTCCTTCTTAGTTGGCTGTCTTCATCAGACTTCTCTGGCTTCTCCTTGCCACTCTCCAAACCCACTTGAGGACTTAGTTTTGCCCCAGTTAACCATTCTACTCTGTAGGCCAATATTCTGGGACTAGACACTACCTCAGTTGTGCTGTCATGAGAATAAAAGGGTGTATCTGTGGTTAGTACCCACCCCTATTTAGGACTTTACTAATACCACCTAGAGACAGGGACTTCCCTTACAGCCCTTTCTTCTACTAACAGATCTTGGGGTTCAGTGTTCCAGAACCACCCAGCCTGATCAGTAGATAAAACTCAAGGAGTTTCTTTCACCTTGTTCCTAAGAAGGGCTCTTTAATTAAAAAGGAAGGAAGCTAAGAGTTATTTGTTTATTATGTCAAGCATTGTTTCAACTAATACTTTCAGGAAATTACAATACAAAAGGACAAATAAGCTCAGACCTGTTAAAGAACTTTCGTTCATGCTACTTGAAGCCATAGTTCTTTGCAGTGGAATGTGGTAGTATATTCTGGCCACAAGAGGGCAGAGGTGGACTATGTAAGGGAGACAATTTAGCCAACTGAAGAAACCTTAAGAGCAGCCACTTGTAATTTCTCTGACATGGTACAGATCGAGACGGAAGACAACTAAGTACTGCAAAAGAAAGACTGAAAACTATCTTTAATCCTTTTTATCTTTTACCCATATTTCCACTTCCTCAGAGTTGAGAGATGTGGAAAGGGGAGCACATTTAGGAAGAGGCTCCACTGAAGGTATAGGGAGATGGTGTGGGCGCAGATTATTCCTCACAAAGGGTTGTGCTCTAGGTAGGAATTCCACTCCCAATTCTTTCAGTCGGTACAAGGTGTAGCCTTAATTTACTGATGAAAAAAATGTGGCTCAACATTCACTTACCAAAACAAAATTTAGAGGTTGGACAGTAGAAAAACATGAGTCAGATTTGGTTTTTCAGGAGTCCTGCAACATGAGAGCTAGAAGGGTCCTCAAGCAATCTAGGCCTCCTCCCTTCTTCACTGATTAAAAAAATGATTACCCAAAGGATTAACTGACTCCTCAGGACCACCAAGCAAAAAGGAAAGAATTGGGTTTCTTTATGCTTCATGGCTTTCTATAAGGACAGATACTTTCATTACACTTGGGAAAAATTAATGACTGCATTACTCTTCCAAAGGTAAAAAGATGGCATTTTAAAGCTCACTGGTGACCTAAATGTATTTCTTACATTTAGGTTAGAACCAAATCCTTGCACTTAAGTAATTTAGACACAGAGAAATATTTTATTAGCATAACAATTTATTAGCAAACAAATGAAATGACACCTCCAGATCTCAACACATGTAGGATCTTACATAGTAAACATCATGAACATATCTTTCCAGAAGAAAAAGATCTGCTATTAACCAACTGCCCCTCTCCTGCAGTAGGCTGCAATCCATCAACAACTCATCCTCAATCCCACAGAGGTTTAGCATGATTTATGTAAAATAGCATCAAGGCACTTGCTTTAATTTAAAAAAAAAAAAATGTGGTATAAAACATGTTTCTAAAAGTCATTGACCTTGAATAACTGAAAGGTAGTGTACTTTTTTAGTGAATAGACGAGACTGAGAATTTGAGTTCATTTACCTGTCACCTTGATATTGTCTTGATCTATAAATAAAACTGCAAAGGAGAAAAAAGTAGCATTTCATATAGATTGGTTTGTTCACACTAATTTTTGAGAAATCATGGCAGCATCAGAATTCAAATAGTAACTTCCCAGCTGATTTGAATGGAAAAGCCAACAGTTGTTTGACTCTAAGTATCTTACTATTTTAGGGGTGGGGAAGGTGATATTTAACCTTCAGTTAAAGATCCTTTCTAGCTTAGGCTGCTTGTCTGTTTGCCAACTAAAAAAACCTTCAGTTAGAAATTTAGTGATTGGTATTTTGTAATAAGATTGTTAATTATTTGGCCTTTTTCAGAGTTATAATTCAAGTCCAACAAAGATTACACAGGATTCCAGTGTAGACTTCTAAACATGGTATTTCCAGTAAAGACATTTAGTGTCCTTCATTATTCCAGTTTTCATAATTCAGTATCTCCTTCCTATTTTATATCACCGAAAAAAGAAATTACCAAAAACCCCACTACTTAGTATAAGTTAAATGCTCATTTAACTTTCTTAACTGTATTCAACATGTTTACTTTAAAATTTAAGGTGCAAAGCACTTTTTAAAAAAATAGTCCTTGTCAGGATAAAAATTACCTTATAAAAATAAATCTCCCCCACTCCCACATCTAAATTCTCCATTCCTGTTACTAATTTAAAAAAAACTAAAATGTACCTTTTAACTTACAGTTTTCAATTGTATGTTACTTTAATAATAGGCTATGATAAACCAGCTGAGTATTATTTTGACCTGTTACATTATCATTTTCATTCTTATTATTAGCATTCAAATTAATGATTCTATTCATGATTATCTAAAACCTTTGTATCAAAAACAAACAAACAAAAAACCAAATTACTTCAGAGCCTAAAAGCTTTCAAGATCCAATCCTCTTTTTGTAGTTTTTAAACCCAGTTTTGAATTAGGCATCACTAGAACTGATAAAGAAAACATTAGTGGGAAAAAAATGAAACATTAAAAGAACAAAAATTAAGCATAGTCTAAATCCTATCGGTTGGGTTTTTACTGTCACTGGAATCATTCCCTGAATAGACTGGAGGCATCCATGCCACCTGCTCAGACCTCAGTCCAGACTGAGCTCAGCTCTTCCACCGGGTGTGTCACCCAAGGAAGTTACTATACAGCCCACCTACTGGATTTAGTACCATAGTCCAGCACCTGGTACAGAGCCCTAGACTCCTGCATAGGTCCTCAGGAAGTATTTGAGATATTACCTACATTGATGCAAAAAGAACCTATAGCTCATCGATAGCACTACATAGATGAAAACCATTAAAAACATTAATAAGGATCACAGACCTTGAACTTTTCATTATAACTCCGAGACACAATTTTAAGTTCCCAAGAAATTCACTTCAGCCTTTTTCTCATTTTTATATTAAGATCAGGGCTAACACCCAGACAATGTATTCTTAAATGACAAATTAGTAAGAGAATATGATATACTTCTAAAGATCACCATTTACCACACTATAAATTTATCAACAAATTTGGCTTCAATGTCTACTATTGTTTAAAAACTAAGTCAGACTACCCAAATCTTGTTTTCCTTTGGTCCTAATTAACAATTTTAAAAAGTAATTGTTAACCAGACAGCTGTCAATTTTACCACCATCCAAAGCACAGACAGTAGTACTACAACTTATTAGTGCTCTGGAGTAGCTCAACCTGGACTTTTGCCCCAACCCGGCTGCTGCATGCCCCTCAGCTCTTTCATCTTTGGTGAATCTGTGCCCCATCCCCTTCAAGAAAAAACAGAACCCAGTTTTGACCTTGCTCTCAAACTAAGATGTGGCTCCTAATCCTGACCTCCCCACTGTTGTGTGGGGCTAACGAGGGATTGGATCCTATTCCACTGAATCCCTCTGTGTTCTCCCTTGTTTGGTCAGAGAGTCTATTTCCTTCACCCCTCTCTTGAATATTATCCTTAGTCTCTCTGGGCCATGGCATACTCCATCCCTGATAATAACAAATCTAAAAATAAAGTTGTAAAAGATGTATACCATTAAGAGTATACACACTACATTTCAATTAAATGACTATTTCAAGATACTCAGAATATTATATATTTGTCAAATTAGAGTAAACAAGATATTTTTATATCAATAAAATTTGTAAAATATCACCTGATGAACTAAAAGTCCAAGGCCTTGAGTATGAAAGAAAATGAACACATTAGTTTTGTTGGTGAATTAGGCTTTGGTTTTCAGGTTTGATTTCTTTAAATACCAGCAACCAAAAAAATTTTTAAATGTGAGTACAGACAGACCTCACCCCAAAAAGAGAGGGTGAGATTTAAATTTTAGTGAAATCTTAAATGTTTTTACAACTGGCTATCAAAAATAGAATTTCTTGTTTGTTTGGGTGGGAGAGGTACAAACCAAAACACAATTCAAGAATTTGCTAATTGCATAAAGCTCCAGAATTGTTTATATCCACATATGGAAAGAAATATCAGGTATAAGATCAAATCCTATTACCAAATCCAGCTATCATAAATAATACATAAATAATTGGGTTATATGAATGTGATGCTTCTAAATCCTCCTGCATAATAGTTTAGGTAGCCCAAATTGTTAAAAGCTGTCACTGTCATCAATATTTATTATAAATCAATAGGGTACATGGCAGTAAGCATTAGCTTTGTTTTCACTACAACATCTATAAATTAATTATTGATGTTCCTTTGGAAGCTTCTGTGCATTCTTTTCCACTGGTTACAATAAATTTTTCTAACAGAGGAACAGGAGTTTCTATTTGAGAAAGATTGTCAATCCCCAGCCGACCCTTGTTAAAATGCCATGGAAGGGAAAAAACTTCCCTATTAAGTAAATTCTTAAGGGAAACTGTCAATCATTCCCTTATGCAATCTGTCTTTAACAGTTTGCCTCAAGCTCATTTAAAATGCTGTGTAGAATTGCAGAGTCAGCATTCTGCCTTTTATCTGGCAAGCCTGTCACCAGTAATCAGACATAGCAGTTTCCATGGGCAATACACTAAATGACTGAAAATCAAAATACAGTATAGTAGAGAAATACTCAGAAACAGGGACAGAGGTCACAGAAAAGACAAAGAGGATTCCCATTATTTTCACTGATTATGAAAAGCTCTTGGCTTACCTACTTACTCTTTAAAAAAAGGCATAACTAAAATCATCAAATGAATTACAAAGAGTGGTCTATATAATGTGAAGCTGGCTGGTAGGACTTCACAAACACGCCCAGCCATCAGACTCTTGATGAGACTCTGCCTGTGGTTCCCTGCCTTAAGGAAAGGAATGGTGCTTTCCTATTAAAAAGCCAGAGATCCTATTGCCATCCGGGGAGCAAAGACTGGATATGGAGAAGTACGAATAAGAACAAACTTGTCTAGTTATTACCTTGTGCTCCAGAAGCTCCTTGATCTGCTGGTACAAGAGCAGGCACAATATTCTTTCCCTGCCTCCTTTCCAGGCTCCCTCCAAAGAGCCATATCACGTAGGCTCCAGCACTTTTCATGTAAGTGCCAACTTTACCCTTTTACCTCCTGGAGAATTAAGAGAGTCCAAATGCATATCTCCTAAAAGAGAATAGTCATTAAGTTTTAGGGCTACTTCACAGTTCAATTCAATAGATATTTAACTCCCAAGAATACCTCACAGCTGCAAGAAAGCCTGAAACCACATATTTTCTTCTTTTCAATTGTGCCTAACTACAAGTTCTACTGTATTCGTGTATCTATAAAGGCTATCGGCTTCAAAGAAAGAATGTCTCACCAATAGGTTAAAATTTCAATTGTGCAAGTTGCTATTGGCTAGACATTCTTCTTCCATCTGCTTATTCAGTTGATCAATGGAAAGACTCAGACCATTGGGAATACATATTCCTTTCTGATTTTGAGTTTCTTCTGCGAAGGTCATCGCTTCATGTATACTATAAAAGAGGTTTTCATCTTCCTTTTTGCAATACTCTCCCCGGGCCAAGGAATGCCTCACAGAGGGATTGCACTGAGCCAGCAGAACTTGGATGCCAATGGCTTCATAATCTCTGCGAACTTCCTGCAGTGTACGGATCCCTGCTGTATCTAAAAACTGGATTGCACTACAGTCAATCACTATGGTATGGAGCTCCAAGGGCTCATGAGAAAGTTGTACTGAAACTTCATCCTGGATTCCACTGAGAGTCACTGTTTCCTTTTTAATCTTTCTCTTTGCTGCTTTCTTCTGAGCTGCCTTTACTAAGATTGGGTTGAGAGTATTTTTGTATAAAGCAGATTTAAAACATTCTTTGTTTATGTAGTAGAGAGGGGCTACAAAGCGAAAAATCTTGATGCCTGGCTTAGCCTGAAGGTTCTTGTAAGCAGACATGGATTCAAAGATTTCAGACTCTTCCACCAAGCCAAGCAATGAACTTTTTGGCTTCTGAGTACGAAGGATGACACAAAACATAGAAAAACAAACCCCAATAAGCAGGCCAATTTCAGTACTTATCAGTGCAGAGGACAGCATAGTAACAAACCAGATAACTGTATCCATTCTGCTAACCCTCCACATCTTGGGCAGATCCTTAAATTTACATAGAGCTCCCCGGAGATTTACAATAGTGATCACACCAAGGACACTTTTCTGAAGGGAATAGAATAAAGGAGCTATTACCAGGAGGACTAACAAAAGAACCAGAGCTGTCACCAAACCAGAAAGCTGAGTTTGGCAGCCTGTTGATTCTTTAACCAAGGTCTTTGCAAGAGCTGCACTAGAAGTAAAGCAGTAGAAGAAGGACGGGATGATATTGCAAAAGCCAATGGCATACATTTCCTGATTAGCCTTGACTGTGTAGCTATGTTTCTTGGCAAACATCTCAGAGAGTGATACAGTGATAGCAAAACCAATGATAGAAATAGCTATTGCATCTATAGCCACACTAGGAATTAAGTTCCAGTCCGGTGCTTTGGGTGGCATAAACCCAGTGGGAATATGTCCTGCGATACTGGTATTGTATTTCTCATTTAGTTTTCCAAAATGAGAGGCTAATGTGGCTGCCACAACGACAATGAGTTCAGTAGGAATTGGTGCCTTAAGCTTCGACTTGAAGTGCTCATTGAGTTCTTTGGTTGGCAAAAGAACCAAAAGGCACAAAAGGCTGGTGATGAGATCACAGAGATTGGTCATATGGATGTTTCTGAAGATATATATCCAAGTATTGATGAGTGAGCCCACACCATTACTCCGAGGAAGTCTGAGCCCAAGGAGATACTTGGCCTGAGATGTAAGAATAGTGAAGGAGGCACCAGTGACAAATCCACTCAGCAAGGCATCTGAGAGGTAGATGGAAACAAAGCCCACTTGAAAGAAGCCCATTGCTACCTGGAAAGAAGGATATACAAGTGTTAAATATAAATGGAAAAGAGCTTCCAAATCCTGTATTACTTCGGCTCACGTGCTCTCACGTACGTGCTCTCACGTACGTGCTCTCACGTACGTGCTCCCCCCGCCCCTTTGCATGGCAACATACCATCAAGTATCACAGACTGTCAGAGCTAGAAAAAATGCAATCACATATCAGTCCTTTCATTTCACAGAGACGGCTCATTTTACTGACACTCAGAGGGCTAAGCACACTGTTACTCATTAGCCCAGGTGAGACAAGAACTTAGGATCCCTACCTTCTTGTACAGTGCTTCTTAAATTTGAATAAGATTCAAACCTCTTTCAAAAAGAAAAAAATTCTCAGGGATCCACAAGAAATCATAAAAACTCGAATTGAAAAATTCTTCTAATTAAAAAACCATATATTTTCTTTAAATTACAAACCATTGCCATAAAAGTGAAGTTTTAACTGATGAAAACCAAAACTTAGATTCATGCTTTTGAAATTATTATAGAACTCTCTTTAATCTAACCTCATACTGAGAAACTATTCTCATCCAGTATATATGTGCTTATGCCATACTGCTTCCCATATTAATTCTACATCCTCAAAGACTTTTTAATTTACTTTTTCCTCTTTCTAATAATTCCTCAGAATTCTATTGCACTATTCTTCATTCTTCGTGAGGCACACTAATCAAAAAGCAAAAATGGACTGTAAGGAGAACATCTCTTCTGCATACCACCCCCTCTCCCTCTCTCTTCATCCAAGCACCAGATAAAGTGAGCTACTCTTTCACCTCCATCATTGGTTCCAAATGCCTATGATAGAGAAGAAATTTAGTACTGGCATTGACTCCTGGATGCCAAAAGGCAGGGGCATGATGATAATGGCAGATTAGTGGATTCTATAGGAAACTCAAGAAGAATTTCATTTCTAATCCTTTCTCCTGGCTGATAATATAAAACAGTGGTCCCCAACTTTATCCCTCTGCAATAGTCCAAGAGACCTATTTCTGGTGGGAGTTACCAGAGCAGCAATTCTAAAGGAAGGGGAGCAGTCATCTATAGTTTGAAAAACTCCCCTTCTCCCAACCTCCATTCTCTTACCCTCCTGTCTGACTGTTAATGCTGACTCTGCTAATAACTAACCACACATAGTCTCAAGCAAAGCCATGTTTCTTGACATAAAAAATTAAGGAGTTGTACTGAGTGGTCTGGGGTCCCTTTCTGGTCTAAATTTTTACAACCAAATAATTAAAATCTGGCTGACTGAAATGCACTGGTTAAGAGGCAGCCTTGGGTTCGAAAAAGAGCAGCAGCCTTATCACACCTGTAGAGTTCAAATTCTGGCTCGATCCCTCACATATCTTCAGCATTCAATACATGACAGTTTTAATATTACGATATTTAAGATCTCTTACAGACCTGAGATTTCATGCATAGCGATTTCTTTTGCCAGAAACAACCATTCGTTCCATTGTTTCTTACCTGATAAACTCCAGCTATAAAGGTCACGGTGCTGCCAACTCTAACTGCATAGCAACTTCTGTCACATATCCTGCCTGATGTATGGTTTAATAATGTGCTCCCATTTGAAACCATTCCTAATGTAGGGGCAATATGGGAAGAGTCATAGCCAGCTTTGTTGAGTTCTCGGTCAACTACTTCACCAATCATAAGGCACAGTATTCCAAAAATGCCCACCGAGATGTGACGGGAAGTCCCCAGGAGGAAATAAATGATGCTGGCAAAAAAAGACGTGTACAGACCATAGATCGGTTCTTGGCCAGCCAAGAGCGAATAAGCAATGGACTGGGGCACCAACAAGATACCCACAATCAAGCCAGACATCACATCTCCTAAAATGTTTCTCTTCAGATCATATTTTGGGAGCCACTGCAAAACAGGAAGGAAACCAAAAATCACATTTTTTGCTTTGGCGGGGCTGCACTGGCAACTCTTCCGTAGTTTTTTGATGACAAATTGCTTATAGTTAGTATTTGATTTTTCTTGAGGTTCCATGTGGATCCTAGGGTAATGTCTGCATTGATCATTGGCCTCAGATTGCTTGAAGTCAGTACTTGATTCCTTTTCAAGCTCCAGGTGGATCCTAGATGGATGAGTGTGTTGGTCATTTCCTTCAACTGAGTCCTTGGGTGGAAGATCACGTTTCTCTGTACTGTCTGAAGACATTTCTGGAGATAGATGCTTCAGCCTCCTACCCCAGAGAAAATACCACGGTTAACTGATTAAGTAATTCTTAGTGCTCGCACATTTTAACAGTTCTACTTGTCATTCACGAGAGTTAAGTTTTGGGGTAGGTATCTTATATTCACTTTCCTTAGTTAAACCTCATTTGTCTTGGTCAGGGGGAAAAAAAAGAATCAGACCACAAAGAGCCAAGTCAAAACAAATAATTCACTGAGTACAGTAATTCTCAAGAGTATAAATCATTCAAGGATTCTTCTCCATCAGTGCCTGGATCCTCCTGCAGTTTTTAGTCCAGAAAAGGTATCAGGATGGCCTGTAAAGGTAGGAATGCATTTTGTTTGTAGCATATACAAAATAAAATGTATGAAAACAATAGCACAATAAATGAGGACTGTAAGGTCTTACACTAGCTGTGAAATGATACAATAGTATTTGAAAGTCGGCTCTGATTAGTTAAAGATATATATTGTAAACCCAAGGATATCCAATAACATTTTTAAAGGTATACATAATAAGTCAATTGTGAAGATAAAATGGAATCATAAAAAATTCTCAACCTAAGAGAAAGAGAAAAAGAAAAAAAACAGATACAACAAATTGAAAACTGCTGGCAGATGGTAGAGTTTAATCCAAACATATAAATAACCCAAACATATAAAAAATGTGAATGGTCTAAACATTCCAATTAAAAGACAAGACTCTCAGATTGGATAAAAATATATATATATATATATATATATATAT